TTCTGTTCCTTTCCAGTCTACTACTTTTAGGCTCTCTCTTTGCTTAGAGGACCCCTTTCAATATTTCCTGTAGGGCTGATTTGGTGTTTGCAAATTCTTTTAATTTTTGTTTGTCCTGGAAGCTTTTTTTTTTTTTTTAATTTATTTATTTGACACAGAGTGAGAGAGATTGTAAGCGGGCAGAGAGGCAGGCAGAGAGAGAGGGGGAAGAAGGCTCCCTGCTGAGCAGAGAGCCCGATGTGGGTCTTGATCCCAAGACCTTGATCATGACTTGAGCCGAAGGCAGAGGACTTAACCCACTGAGCCACCCAGGCACCCCTGTCCTGGATGATTTTTATCTCTCCTCTTATTTTCAATGATAGCCTAGCTGGATATAGTATTCTTGGCTGTATATTTTTCTAGTTTAGTGCTTTGAATATACCATGCCAGTTCTTTCTGGCCTGCCAGGTCTCTGTGGATAAGTCTGCTGCCAATCTAATATTTCTACCACTGTATGTTACAGATTTCTTGTCCTGAGCTGCTTTCAGGATTTTGTCTTTGTCACTAAAACTTGTAAATTTTACTATTAGATGACAGGGTATGGACCTATTCTTATTGATTTTGAGGGAGGTTCTCTGTGCCTCCTGGAGTTTAATGCTTGTTTCCTTTGCCATATTAGGGAAATTCTCTACTATAATTAACTCTAATATACCTACTGTCCCTCTGTCTCTTTCTTCTTCTTCTGGAATCCCAACTATTCTAATAGTGTTTCATCTTATGCTATCATTTATCTCTCAAATTCTTCCCTTGTGGTCCAGCAGTAGTGTGTCTTTCTTTTGCTCAGCTTCTGTATTCTCCATCATTTGGTCTTCTATATCACTATTTCTCTCTTCTGCCTCATTTATCCTAGCAGTAAGAGCCTCCAGTTTTGATTGCACCTCTTTAATAACTTTTTTATTTCAACTAGGTTAGATTTTAGTTCTTTTATTTCTCCAGAAAGGGATTTTATTTCTCCAGAAAGGGATTTTATTTCTCCAGAAAAGGTTTCTCTAATATCTTCCATGCCTTTTTCGAGCACAGCTAGCACCTTGAGAATTGTCATTCTGAACTCTAGTTCTGACATATTACCAATGTCTGTGTTGATTAGGTCTCTAGCCTTCGGTACTGCCTCTTGTTCTTTTTTTTGTGGTGAGTTTTTCCACCTTGTCATTTTATCCAGATAAGAATATATGAATGAGAGAAAATACTAAAATTGTGGCAAGGACCCCAGAAACATATATGCTAACCAAATCAGAAGAGATCCAAAACCGGGGGGAGAAGAAAGGGGGAAAAAAGAAAGAAAAAAAATAAAAATTATACATATATATTAGATTGGTGAATAGAACAGAGCCATTCACTTGATTTTGGGTGTATTTTGGTCTTAGAAGACTCTATCTCCCAAAATTTTAATGAAAGAAAAACTTGTATATATAGAAAAAGAAGGGTAAACATGATGATTGTAAAGATGAAAATTTAAAAAAAAATTAAAATAGGAATTGTTAAGTTGGTTGGAAAAAGAAAAAAAAAAAGAGGAGGGAATGTGCTCAGGCTGGAGACTAGAACAAAGCCATGTGCTAGACTAGAGTATATTTTGATCTATTAGAAGAAATTGTATCCCACAATTTTTTAGAAACACACACACACACACACACACACACACACACACACACACATATATATATATACATACACAAAAAATAAGGTTAAATACAATGAAGTGATAAAATATGACTATAACAATGAAGTTTTAAAAAAACTTTTTTAAGGAAAGGTATTGTTAAGATAAACTAGTTAAAAATGTTAAAAGAGGAACGAGGAAACGTTAAGAAAATAGAATAAGAAAAAAATAAAATTAAATTTAACTTTGCAAGAGTAAAGGATCATGGGTAAAAAGTCACGAATTCTATGTGTCACTTTCCCCTAGCTCTGGAGTTCCGCACTTCTCATTGATCAGTAAACTTGGTCTTCGCAGGATGTTCTTGTTGATCTTCTGGGGGAGGGGCCTGTTGCAGTGATTCTCAAATGTCTTTGTCTGAAGTGGAATTGCACTGCCCTTGCCAGGGGCTGGGCTAAGTAATCTGCTCAGGTTCATGCTCGGGAGCTTTTGTTCCTTGAACGCTTTCTGTAGAGCTTTGGAGGACAGGAATGAAAATGGCGCACTCCCAATCTCCAGCTCAGAGGAGCCAAGAGCTCGGGACTGCACTCCTCAGTGCACCCTTGGAGAAAAGCAGTCAGGCCCTCCCATCTCCCTGGTCTCAGGCTGCACTCTAAGCTGACCCGGCCTGTGACTGAGTGTTTCTCTCTTGCGCTTGGCCCGATTTGGAGTCTTCAAACCCACCAGATTCCTCTTGTACTGCTCCTCCCGGAGCAGAAAGGTGAGTCTCCCTGGATATGCCACTTGTGGGGTCCCTGCTTGAAGAACAATTGCCCAACTGTGCCTTGGATCATGGTTTAAGGTAACTCCAAGCTGAAAGCCCTCTCCTCAACTCCGTCTGTGCAGTCAGCTTCCCTGCTTGATACCTGGGAGCTCTGCCACACTCAGACACCCCCAATCTTTCTGTGACCCCACTGGACCTGAGACCACACTGTCCCCTTGAGGACTCCACCCCCGCTTAGCCTCTGGAGCGATGTCCCTCAGTGTAGCAGACTTCTAATTGTTCTGATTTTATGCTCTGCTGCTCTATCACTTGCCGGAAGCTGGTCCTTTCCCCTGCGGTCTCTTCCCGTTGCTTCTGATTTACCTCTCCGCATGTCCTACCTTTCAGAAAGTGGTTGATTTTCTGTTCTTAGAATTGCTGCTCTTCTTCTCTTTGAGCTCCTATTGAGTTTGTAGGTGTTTGGAATGGTTTGATTCCTATCTAGCTGAACTCCTGGGATCTGATGTCATTTCAGTCTGCTACTACTCTGCCATCTTACCTCTCTCCTATCATTTGTATTTTATTTCAAGGATATAATTAATTGTAAGATTGTTTATTATGGGTGTCTCAATTGGTTAAGCATTTGACTTGGGCTCAGGTCATAGTCCCAGGGTTCATCAGGGAAATTGCTTCTCCTTCTGCCCTTTCCCTGGCTTTCTCTCCCTCTCTCTCACCTACTCTCAAATAAATACATAAAATCTTTAAAAAGAAAGATTTTTTTAATAGACATTTATATTTATAAATATTTATGAATATAAATATTTATAAATATTTAATATCCTATAATTATGATAATTGTATTATATAATTAAAAAGTTGACTTAAAAAATGTTACTGATGTATATTTAAGAGTTTTCTTCTCCCTGTATAGTTTCTGTTTCTTCTAAGTTGCTCTTTACTCTTTTTGTTTTGATCTCATGTTAATTGCCCTTTTCAAAAGTTTAGTGATCCTTGGCTGCCTGGCACATTTAAGAATGAGGCACCAAAATTTTGTTGGGAGATCTGAACCCATGTGTGGAGCTCATCCTCCATGGGCTTTATTTTGACGTCATCTGTTGGCTTGTTTTGTTCTTTCTTATTGGGCTGATCATATTCCCCAGAAAGGGATTTTTAGGTTCTTCCCCTAGCATTAACTGGCCTTGAGGGAAGACAGTTTCTCTTTCTAAATGTTTTGAGCAGTATATCTGGTTTTGAGCCTCATTGCCTAGCTTGTTCTATATGTCCACCTCTGAATCACTTATCTGGCTGAGCGATAGAGGACATTGACTGGGCAGACCTTAACTTATAAGAACTAAGATGGGGAAAGGATTTATTCTCCATAGGAAACCCCAAATATTGTAACTAGAGAAAGGGGAAATAAATGCTGGACACGCAAAGTCAAAAGATGTTCACAATTTGAGGGTTGGGTTAGTGGAAATTAATTAGAAAAAAATGTTTTATATATATTTCAGCTAAAAGGATTACATGCATTCCCCAAATGTGCTCTATATATTCTACCTCAGGCTCCATTCCCTTGTTCATAATGTCCTTTCCATTTGGATGGCATTCCTATCCCCCATCTCTATCAATTTTATATTATTTTTTTAAAAAGATTTTATTTATTTATTTATTTGACAGAGAGAGAGAGAGAGAGAGAGAGATCGCAAGTAGGCAGAGAAGCAGGCAGGGGGGTGGTGGGGAAGCAGGCCTCCCCGCTGAGCAGAGAGCCTGATGTGGGGACTTGATCCCAGGACCCTGGGATCATGACCTGAGTCGAAGGAAGAGGGTTAACCCACTGAGACACCCAGGCGCCCTATCAATTTTATATTCTTTCTTCAAGTCTCTCCAGAAATTCTACCTCCTTCTTGAAACTTTTACCTGTGGTTGTTTCTTCTTGAAAGCCATCAGATCTAATTATTTCATAAATATCCATTGCATAGCACCAGTCTTATTTCTGTAATCACTCACCTGTAGATTTAACTCATCCCTCTACTGGATTTGGAGCCCAGTAATTTAGAAACTGTGTGATTTGCATCGCTTGAATATGATGTTTCTATTCTTAAGATAGGAATTCCATGTTAGGTGCTCCATAAATATATGTTCAACTGGAAAATACCATTCCTTAGCATTTATTGTGTAAAATATGCTTAGTTTTACATGCTTCCATTGTTTACATTGTCTAATTATATTCTTGGCAGAGTTAAAATGATTGTAGACTTAGGGAACATTGCTAGAGCCTTTAGTGCTTTTGCATATATTTAGCCAAATTTTTTAATACATAAAAAGCAACACACATTGGATCATTATTAAGTAGTTGGTTTCTTTCTGGCAACATATTAGAAAAGTTTTGGAGAAAAATTTTATATAACTGACTATTGAATACATCTATATGCCCAACACAGCAACTGGAACATGGTGAGTACTCAGTTAGTAGTAGTTGAAGTAGGTATCACTCTGTGTTGTGTCTTGACAAAGCCTGTAGAACTTGTTTCCTGTGCTGTTAAGTGGCCTTTCTTGTTCTAAACAGAACCGAACATTTTTGGAGGTTTCTGCCAAGATCTCATGTTGCCGCATATCTCTTTTTAGTCATGGGACCCTATGTGAGAAAAGTCCTGTGTGATGAGCTGGGAGCTCCAGCCAATTCCGCAATAAACTGTGTCCCCTTGGAAGATTTTGGAGGTCAGCCTCCTGACCCAAACTTGACGTATGCAACAACGCTTCTGGAAGCTATGAAAGGAGGAGAATATGGATTTGGAGCTGCATTTGATGCTGATGGGGTAAGTAAGAAACTTTTCTGCCTGCTGACCCTTTCACGAGATAATAAGCCAGGCATTGGAAGCCAGAGAATTCATGGGGCTGGCTGATATATATGGGGCATTCGAACCCTACCTGGCTCTGCATCTGCTCTTCTTTTTAATGGCTCTTCCGTACTGCAGTTAAACAGCTTTTACTTTTCGTAGTTCCAGGGTAGCATTATGTTATAAAAAAGTTACTACTTTTAAAAATATTCATGCAATAAATCTTTATTTATGGTTGGTTTAGTTAAAACCACCACATTAAGAAACTAGGTATTTCAGCAATAATTCTTGTTCTCCGTTATATCTGGGGGAGAGTATGGGATGAGTATATGAAGGCTACTGACGCTTGAGGTAGTCATCTGCATTCCAACAGGTGGGACACATTCCAAACTGTGTCATGGTCCTGGGCCCTACAATATTCAGGAATTTACAAGAAGGTTTCTCATGCTCTCCTTGGCTTCATTCAAGTTGTTTTAGGTTGTTTAAATATAGGATGGTGGTAGAGTAGCTTGTGATGATTATGGGAATGGGGAGCTAGCAGCAGATGCCTCTCTCTGATCTTTGTCACCCGTTCCTTCTGGCAGGACCGTTATATGATCCTGGGCCGAAATGGCTTCTTCGTGAGCCCTTCTGACTCACTGGCCATCATTGCTGCCAACCTCTCTTGCATTCCGTATTTCCGTCAGATGGGGGTTCGAGGGTTTGGAAGGAGTATGCCCACCAGCATGGCCCTGGACAGGTAAGCAAGGATGTCACCTTGGAGAACTTCATGGTAGGCTTCTGATGTCAGTGTCACCTTTGTTGTTAGCTGTCACTCATTCTCTCCTGCTCTGGTGGCAACTGTGGGAAGTATGGGAACTTAGAAACATGTATAGTGCCGGGGAGGGGCATGAAGAATCAGGTGACCTGAACTCGATTCTTGGTTCTACCACTTCTTAGCTGTGAGAACTTCAGGGACATGTGATTGCTGTGCCTTTTTTTTTTTTTTCTTGCCAGTCTTTTTTATTTTAGCAATTCTAGTGAGTGCAAAATATTATTTCCTTTTTTTAAAATTGAAGTATAAAATTGAAATATCAGTGTTATATTACTTTCGGGTGTATAATATGATTCAACAATTCTATACATTACTCAGTGCCCGTCATGATGAATGGCCTCTTGGTCCCCTTCACCTCTTTCACCCTTCCCCCCCGCTACTTCCCCTTTGGTATCTGTCAGTCTGTTCTCTGTTCTTAAGAGTATGGTTTTTTTGTTTGTTCTTTTTTTGGTGTTGTTTCTTAAATTCCACATTCGAGTGAAATCATATGGTATTTGTTTTTCTTTGATTTACTTATTTCACTTAACATTATATTTAATAGCTGAGTAATATTCCATTTTATATGTATACCATTTCTTCTTTATCCATTCATGTATGGATGGATACTTGGCTTGCTTCCATATCTTTGCTCTTGTAAATAAACTGTAGTAAACATCGAGGTGTATATATCTTTTCAAATTAGTATTTTCATTTCCTTTGAATAAACACACAGTAGTAGAATTACTGGATCATGTATTAATTGTATTTTTAATATTTTGAGGGCCTTTCATACTTTTTCCACAGTGGCTGTATCAATTTCCATTCCCACCAACAGCGCATGAGGGTTCATTTTTTTTTTTTAAGATTTTATTTATTTATTTGACAGATAGAGATCGCAAGTAGGCAGCGAGGCAGGCAGAGAGAGAGGAGGAAGCAGGCTCCCCGCTGAGCAGAGAGCCTGATGTGGGGCTCGATCCCAGAACCCTGGGATCATGCCCGGAGCCGAAGGCAAAGGCTTTAACCCACTGAGCCACCCAGGTGCCCCACGAGGGTTCATTTTTCTCCACATCCTTACCAACACTTGTTATTTCTCGTCTTTTTTATTCCAGCCATTCTGAGAGGGATGAGGTGGTATCTCACGTGGTTTTGATTTGCGTTTCCCTGATAATGAGTGAAGTTGAGCATCTTTTTATGTGTGTGTTGCCATCTGGGTGTCTTCTTTGGAAAAATGTCTATTCAGATCCTCTGCCCACTTTTAATTAGATAATTTGTGAGTTGAATAAGTATTTTATATATTTTAAATATTAATCCCTCATTGAATATATAATTTGTAAATATCTGCTCCCATTCAGTAGGTTGTCTTTTTGTTTTGTCAGTGGTTTCCTTCACTCTGTAAGAGCTTTTTTTTTTTTTTTTCTGTTATTTCTCCCTCCTGAGGAGACATATCTAGGAAAATGTTTCTGTGGCTGACATCCAAGAAATTATTGCCTATGTTTTCTTCCAGGATTTTTATGGTTTCAGGTCTCACATTTAGATTTTTAATTCACTTTGAGCTTATTTTTGTGCATGGTGTAAGAAACTGGTCCGATTCAATTCTTTTCATGGAATTGTCCAGTTTTCCAACACCATTTATTGAAGAGACTGTCTTTTTTCCATTATATATTCTTGCCTTTTTTCTCATAGATTGAGTATATGAGCATGGATTTATTTCTGAGCTCTTTATTATTCTATTCTGTTGATCTATATGTCTATTTTTGTGCAAGTACCCTGTACTTATTGATTTTGATTTACTAATTCTGTGCCAGGCTCTGCTGTAAGCCCATTCCATAAACTCGGTAGTCATCATAACTACCCTGTGAGGTGGCCCATTTTACTGATGAAGGAACTGAGGTACAGGGAAGTTCAATAACTTGGTCAAGATCAGGGCCTAATGAGGGTGGAACTGGGATTCTAACTACGCCATTCTAGCTCCACAGTGCATGGTCCAGCTCCACAGTGCATTAGAGAGACGAGGAGAGAGAGATCAAGGGTAGGAGCAGAGGATGAAGGAGAGAGAGAATCTTAAACAGGCTCCACAGTCAGTGTGGAGTCCAACACAGGGCTTGAGTCCAACACAGATCTCAAGACCCTGAGATCATGACCTGAGAGCTGAAATCAAGAGTCAGATGCCACCCAAACACCCCCAGAGTGCATGGTCTTAATGACCCTGCAATATTACATCGCACGGTGGTGGGACTGTAAGATCCATAGGAACCCAGAGAGGGGACAAGGGGCCTCCGAGGAAGCTGCTGGGCTTACTCTGAGTTTCAGGGTCTGACGTGACAGCCTTGGCTATGCAGGCCTGCCGGCGACAGCTCCCCAGATGAGCCTACATTGGTTACGCCGTCCAACCTCAAGTCCTCCCCTGGGCTTCCTGTTGCCCTCGGTCCCATCCTCAGAAGCGAGGAGATGAGGCTAGACTCATGAAGATGAGGAGAGGGACCCACAGCACAGTCTCCCCCTGTATACTCACCCCGCACCCGCCAGGAAGTGGAGCCTCAGCGGGAAGAATGGGAGGGCTGGATGAGGGATCCATCCCTCTTCTCCCCTGCCTGTGAGATAGTGGGCTGACCACCAGCCGGGCCTTCTTCTGGGGGCAGGGCACAAATGAGGCTCTTCAAGCAGTGGAGCCGGGTGTGGGCTCCAGAGCCATTCTGCTCCAGGCCTCAGGAGAGAAGACAAATGAGAAGCAATACGCTGTCCAGGCAGGAACCGGAGAAGATGGGGCAGATGCTCCAGGCAGCCAGAATAGAGGGTGTGCCTTTGTCTGTTGCCCCCCGAGAACCTCTGCTCTCAGCCAACAACTGAGGAGTCCTAACTAGCACTGCTGGGCTCCCCAGGCCTGCTCCCCAACCCTTGGCTTTTGGAACTCGGGGTGTTGCTCTTCTAGGCATGTGGTTTCCACTTCCCACCTCACATAGATTTAATTGGTCTAGATTTTTTTCTTTTAAATGGGAGTTATCATATGGTTTCACTTATATGTGGAACATAAGGAATAGCATGGAGGACATTAGGAGAAGGAAGAGAAAAGTGAAGGGGGGGTCTCGGGAGGGAGACGAACCATGAGAAACTGTGGACTCTGGGAAACAAACTGAGGGTTGCAGAGGGGAGGGGTTGGGGGGATGGGTTAACCCAGTGATGGGTATTAAGGAGGGCACGGATTCCACGGAGCACTGGGTGTTACATGCAAACAATGAATCATGGAACTCTACATCAAAAACTAATGATGTAGTGTTCGGTGACTAATATAATAAAGAAAAATAAAGTTGAGAATTTGATTAAAAAATCATAACCATAAAAAATAAATGGGAACTTGGTCTTTCTCCTGAAGATTCTCAGGGACTAAGGCTGAAACTGGAGTTCCATTTCAAGCTTCTGACCATTTTTTTTAACAAGGAGAGCCCATCCTTTGGCATGTTTACACTCAAATTCACCTGTTATCAACTTGACCTTCATCCCCTTTTGCTGATCTGACTCTCCCTACAGTGTGAGTGGCATTTGGGTGTTGACCCTTGCTGGGTTAAAGGGATGATGTGGAAATGCTCTAATCATTGTGTGGTTCTGTATCCCTCAGAGAAACCAGTCCAACAATGCTTATATCCTGGGGATCCTTGTATACCTTGACTCTGAGAGCTGTCAGTATGTCAAGACCCTGGGTGTCAGCAGCTTGTTGAGCAGCAGATCTTTTAGAAGAAGGAAACCAAAAGCACGATCCAGTGGGGTGGGGTGGAAAGGCAACTCCTGAACCTCACTCTGAGTCTCCTTGAGTCTTTGGTATCTATTCCTAGCAGTGGCTGGCTGTTTGTGATTCCATTTGGATGAGGATGAGGGGAGAAGCCCTTTGGGTAGGCTCCATTCAAAAAGATACTGTGGGGGCGCCTAAGTGGCTCAGTGGGTTAAAGCCTCTGCCTTTGGCTCAGGTCATGATCCCAAGGTCCTGGATCGGGTTTTCTCCTCAGCAGGGTGCCTGCTTCCTCCTCTCTCTCTGCCTACTTGTAATCTCTGTCAAATAAATAAATAAAATCTTAAAAATAAAAAAAAGATACTGCAGTTTTTAAAACAAAGTCCCCAGTACACCTTTATATCCTGCAGGTTTCCTGCTAAGTGAGGCTTGTGCGCTTTGAAATCTTCTTTCCTTTTGGTTTAGATTTGCATCATAATAACTGGTGATGTTGAGCTTATTTTCATATGCTTATTATCCATTTGTGCATCTTTTTTGTTATGTATTTGTTCATAATGCATTTGCTCAATTAAAAAATTAGGTTGTTTGTCTTTTGTTATTGATTTATAGAAGTTCATTATATATTCCGGATAGTGTCTTTTGTTAGATTTATGTATTACAAGTATTTTCTCCCTGCCCATTGCTTGTCTTTTCGTATTGTTAGTAGAAGTTTTTGATGAGCAGAAGTTTTACATTTTGATGAAGTTAGTTCATTAATATTTTCCTGTATAGTTAGTATATACTGTTTGTCCTCTGTGAGAAATTTCTGCTTGGCCAAAAGTTAGAAAGATGTTTTCCCTATGTTTTCTTCTAAGTTTGTTGTAGTTTTAATTTTCACATTTTAGTTTATGATGATTTTGAATTAATTTTTTTGTGTGTTCATCGAAAATAATTTCTTTCTTCTTGGTGCTTTCGTTAAAGATAAGTTGACCGTTTCTGTTTGGGTCTATTTTAGAATTCTCTGTTTTCTCTCATTGATCTTTACACCTGTTCTTAGGCCGAGATTATGCTTGATTATTAAACTTTTAAATAAGTATTGAATCAAGTGAATTCCCCAAGTGTTTTTTTCTTCTTGGTCAAATTAAAAAAATGATACATCTTAGCTTTTTTGTATTTCTATATACATTTTTTTTTATTTTTATTTTTTTTAAATTTTATTTATTTATTTGACAGACAGAGATCATAA